CCCCTTCCCCGCTTCCCTCCTCCACACCACACTTCAGCCATTGACAGCAAAGTGTGCGTAGAACAAACATTGCTTTTTTTCACTTGTTGGGAAAATTAAATTTTTATTGTGTTGACTTTTGACTTTGGTGCGGGAAATTAGATATATGCGCACACTGTACACATTAGATTAGGACGTAAAATAAAAAATAACAAATATTTAACTTAGAAAGAAAAGTGCTACCAACTTAAGTCTTCGGGTAAGCCACCCGGATAATCGCCTGTCAGGCATGCCGTGCAATAACCAGATTTTGATGGATTGCATTGTGCTTTATTGACCTGCACAGCCTTAACTAAGCCTTCCACGCTTAGATACGCTAAGCTGTCCGCTCCTGTACAAATGAGAACAACAAAATGTATATGAATGTGTATGGTAGACAATAAACGATTTGATATACGGTTAGATTTCAAAGACTTACCGACATGTTTCGCTAATTGTTCGGGATTTAATTTATTGCCTATGAGTTCTTCTCTGGTCGGTATATTAATTCCCATATAGCATGGGTAAAGCAAAGGTGGACTGGCTATGCGTATATGCACTTCCTTTGCACCGGCGTCACGTAAAAGTTTAATGATTGGGCCAATGGTATTGCCACGTACTATAGAGTCATCGATTAACACGATTCGTTTGCCTTCGACATTCTCAGCCAACGCACCAAATTTCTTGGCCACACCCAATTGACGTAAACGTGTAGAGGGTTGAATGAAAGTACGGCCCACATATCGATTCTTACATAAAACTTCAGCAAATGGTAGATTGGACTGGAAAATAGAAATGAAGTCAAAATTCATAAGTATTAACTTCTTTGCGAAATTTTTATTTATTGTTGACTCACTTCTCGGGCAAACCCGTGAGCAGCCGCTGTACCCGATTCCGGTACTGAACTAACAATATCAGCATCAAGTGGCGATTCGCGCGCCAACTGGCGACCACATTGCAAACGCGCTGAATAAACCATTTGTCCCTCAAAAATTGAATCGGCTCGAGCAAAATATACATATTCGAAAATGCAAAAAGCCATACGTTTATAGTCGGGTCGTTCTACAATATCCACAGTACGGAACCCGTTACGTGTGAATTCAACTATTTCGCCCGGCTCCAATTCTCGCACATAACGCGCACCGATCGATAAGAAACCGCAGCTTTCGCTACTCACTACGTAACCTTCCGCCGGGGCAACATCTGGTTTACCGGCACCCAAGCCAATGGGTACAATCTTACCGATACATAACGGACGATTCCCGTATGTGTCACGTACAGCATATATTTTATCTTTATGCATAACTACAAGCGAATAAGATAGAGGTGCTAAGGTCATAAAATGGCGTATACGAGCCGGCCAATTGGGGCCATCGTGCTCAGATATATCTAATGGCGCGCAACACAATGATTGAGCGATCAATTCACTGTCGCTATGAGTAGATAAACCAACACCACGTTCTAAAACCTAATCATATTAGAAGAAATTAAAGAAAAAAAAAAAAAAAAAAAAAAAAATTGCTGTCTTCTTATTTAGCATCTCTAACAAACCTCTTTCCTTAGCGACTCACAATTTACCAGTTCGCCGTTGTGCGCTATAGCTAAAGCACCATGAGCAGTATGCACTACAAATGGCTGACAATTAACCATTTCTGAAGCGGCCGAAGTTGAATAACGATTATGTCCAATACCCAGATTTCCTTTTAATTTCTTCATCGTGTCATCATTGAACAGATTGTTAATCATACCCATACCCTTATGGACGCTGAAATTTTTCGAAGTTTTACCTGTGCTTGTGACAATGCCTGCGGACTCCTGACCTCGATGCTGTAAAGCGACCAAACCCAAGCATACGACTTGCCCGATATCAATCTAAAATCAGTCAAAGCACAACAACAATGAAGAACTCATATTTAACTCGACCTTAATTCCGGCCTAAATTGCTTAAACCGAAATTACTCACTTATTAAAGTGAAAACTTTAAAATTTATATATATTAAAATTAACGTTTAAGTGATTGAAAGTTTAGCTAACAATAACTGCAGTGTACTTAGGTTGTGTTTGTTAGCTCTTGCCTTTTTACAAAATCAAACATTAAAGATAAGCAATTAGACTAATCGACAAACGTATGAATGGAAAGACAGCATGATAGAAGTCATTAGAATAGGTGAATGAAATGGACGCATTAAAAAAAAAAAACCGGCAAATGCGTATATATGGATATATGGAAAACGATAGAATATTATATGTTGCTTTTTAAAATTCTTTTCAAGTTAAAAATTAAAAAATACGATATAGACTGTCTTATATTGCAAAACGTTTATTTGATTTGACGACATATAGAAAGTATAAGATGGAATATATCTGGAGTAATTGATATTATTACTAAAATGTTTTCGTGATTTGGGGGAGTTAATCGATTTGGCAATTGAAAGAAAATTATTGGTTCAAATTCAGTCTTTGAAGTATTTTTTTTATTACGAAAAAATGTCATTAGATAAACATATGTTTTATCAAAGAGTTTCAGAATTTCAAAAAAATCCATCATATCTTTCCTCTTTTCTCATCTCACTGTTCTACCTGTTGGATGCAACAAAGGTTGGATCATATTTTTCAGACATAGTGGTCTACCTGCTACACTTTTTCGTATATTTATGGCACTAAATTCGGTATCTTCGTTAAAGTCATACTCAAATTTTAATCAAATGGGGTTTTGACTTTTTTTCTATTATTGATAGAATTTTCTAAAGAATAAGTCCTGATGCGTCATATGAAGCCTATGAGACGAAGCTTTCTTTTTACAGGTTTTTTATTATATTATACCAATCATCTGGCGAAAAGATATTCTGAACCTTTTTCTGCTTGAGATTCGATGATAGCAAATTGTGAATCATTAGGCGAGTAATTGTGTCCACTTTCCAGGAAATTTCATTTCAGTTGATTCAGCATACTTTGAAGCAATTTCAATAAACTTAAAATAGTTTTAATATTTCTATTTTGTCTCGTACATTAGTCTGAGTAGATTATGTTATATTTTTTTTTTTTTTTAGGTATAGTTTTTAGCACAAATCTTTATATACTTGATGATATAAAAACATTATAGTGTGGAGTTAATCAGAATGGCTTCTGAAAAAAATTATTTATTAATCAGTGGCCGAAACGATTTTGTGTGATTTAGTGGTGTTAATACTTATTATTAGAGAAATTCGTTTTGAATATGTACAGTTAGGAGCTAATGAAGTGCTTTGATATTAAAATTTAATAAAATCACAAAAGTGGAGTTAAGGCGATTTGCCAACTAAACCATCCATATTTATATATATATATGTATTTATGTACATATATATACATTGTCAGGGAGTTAGTTAATCCTTACGGTTGGATGTTGCAAATGCAGCGACGCAATAAGTATAACTCCAATTTTGCAAGTTTTAATCAAAATTTAAATAAATAAAGAAAAAGAAACGAAATAACTTGTTATTTTCGTATTATCAGTTGTTTATGTTTATGTTTTTTTACGGTAAACAGAAAGAAAATTTGAAAAAAACCAAAATAAAATGATTAAATTTACATGTGAAATATTCCATCCCCACCCAGTGTGATAGATAAGCAGCGAATGTATACGTATTCAAGTAATTGATGATTTAACAATTTCATAAAAATTTTGATCTTTCTAGATGCGAAATAAATTCTATCTGTCTAAACAGTTAACACGCAATAGTTTGACATTGAATCTTAATCGCAACTGTCATAAACGTATGCGTCAAACTGTTCGATTAATTCCAATTGAAGTCAGAGTCAAAAGCTACGCAAAAAGAAATCTTTGTCTTGAGTATGAGTTCTATAATATAGAATATATGTATAGAGGTTTTATATATAATATTTACATATACAAATAACATACATTTACATATATATTTACAAGATCAAGATTAAGAACTCATTAGTTAATAAAATTTCTTTTTTAAGACTATTTTCATTTCTTTTCATTTTTCAAAAATGTAACGATAGTCTTATCGATTCTTATTCTCCGCTATTACCGAAGACACTTGGAATTATTTGGACCGTTATAGATTTTTTTAAATTTAAATTTAATTAATTTAATTGATTCGATGATTTAGTTTAATGAATATGAGGTAGATATGTCGCCTCAAGCAAGAGCTATGGATATGTTGCAAGAAGTTATATAATGTCATATGAATTATTCATCAAATAGATGAATTGAAATGGACTTAACTGAAAAGATCTTTCGAAATAAAGTTGACATAACGAAAACATGCACAACAAGTAGAAGAAGTCTACGCCAGTGTTTTCTAACAAAACGGAAATAGACAATCAAACGTCAAGATTGCATAGAAATAAAATAGACTACATTGTAATGAAATAACTTGATGACAATTATACGTAAGATACAATATATATAAAATCAATTTTTGAGTTTTGATTTTTATGCAAAACTTTATGTCATAAATTGTCATTATTTTCCATTAACATTGTAGACGATTTAGAGTTTCTTGTGCACTAACCAATAAATCTATCGCAAGAAAGTTTTCGCTACATCATCAACGGTACGATGTGAATAAAAAGTTACGATATCAGAAAGAAGATCGCGTCAGTTGACCGTCAACCGTCCAATCGCCTTTCCTCTTGCTTGTCATTATTTGGTTTGACTTGAGAACACTGACAGCGAAAGATCTTAAAAAGGCAAAGTACTCCCCATATAGATAATAACTGATGGGTTGAGTTAAAGAGCATCAACTGGATCCCTATTATGGTTCATTTTCAAATATTTGTAACTTTTCTCTCACTTAAACTCGGTTTGCTTAATAATATTTTATTTTTGCTTTTTTTTTGGTTTTCTTTAAATTTTTTAGTACAAGCTACGCTGGAGAGGAACAACCTTAACACTGGTTATGCGAGCATGTCATAAAGAATCATTTCAAAGATTTTATTAAATACAATATTAGTTTTACACGTCTTACCAACCAGCTCGATTGTCAGTTTTTGCGTTCACTTCATTGGTGTAAAATAGCCAAAGTAAGTGCAAAACAAAGTTCCGTTAGATGAAATTTATTATCACTTTCTGTAGATTAAATTAATTGTAATATAATACCGTCTATGTAATTAACTTATTTTTTGATTAACAAAGAATAAAAATCAAAAAAACTGATATTGTGCACAGCTTGCAGCAATGCTTTCTCCTCTGAAAGAAGAAAATTTACAACAAGCGATAATTATAACTATTATATAATACGTCCCTCGCTCATATAGGGTGTACGTAAGGTATTTGATTGGAAGACGAAACGTGGATTATGCGGATATGAGCAAACGTGAAAGAAATCAATAAAATACTGCTACTACACAACATTAAAAAGATCGCTCCCCTAACAGGTACGAAATCATCTTATAAGTCATTATACAATATGTAAAAAAATAACAAAATCAATTGCTACATGTCTTATATATATATCTATATATATATCTATATATATATATATATATATATACTTTTGTTTTGTTTTTACCTAATATGTCCAATAACTTAGGGGATGTCCCCTATGAAGGTATGATGGCGATGGTTGAAAATAAATTGAGAAGAGAAGAAAGAGATAGCGAGTGATCGCACTATAGCGGATGTGGATGTCGATGGTCGCACTCTAGTGGATGTGTGGTCATTCGGGAAATATTATTCCCTTTACTAACTACTGAGCCATAGCTGCGACCAGGTATGACCGCACTTGGATGTGAACGCGCGAAAACTGACTGGGTATTCGCGACTCTTATCCCCTCTGGGCAATGCGAAACCTTCTTGTTTAGATTATTAAATTTTTTTTGTGGTCTCTGCCCAAGGCCTTGGGATCGTAATTTTATTTTCAAAAAAAAACACGTATATGCAGGCAAATGGTCTTGCCCCGATTTCGTTATTGATACTGGTTTAGAATATGTATTTCATGGAACAAATGACACATATTTCTATACTTTATAAGCATTCGAAATATCTGCTATAAGCCATGTGGTCTATATAAAACAAAGTTACCACCAATTATTTTAAACTTGATAAAATATGGGGGAAAAAAAAAGATATGTGGAAATCGACAAGAATGCATATTTTTTAAATCCTCGTTCTCCACGGAGGCGGATATGAAGTTATCCTTTAAATTTACTTATTTTGATAAAGTCAATCTAAAAAAGATAACTCACCTGCGTAGGCCATTCGCCGCAAGCTATAGCACCGAAAACTCCACATTCGCAGGTTAAGCCAGTGACATTCTCACCCTCGGGCTGTATTTGTTTGTAATTTTTCTGCGGAAACACTTTCTCTCTTTGTAATTGATCAGTGCAAACAGATTTTGACTTTGCTGAAAAATAAGACAATTAACAATGGTAGAGATCGTTCTAATTAATTAGATTCGAAAACCTACTTGTTGTTGAAGGATTCATAATGTAATCAAAGTAAAAATATTGAAAAATTTTAATAATTTAATAAAAGATATTTCTCTTGCGTTTATTTATAATTATAATTTCAATTCGATTCCAGCAAATAAATTGCTGTGATGCGATTGTCGAGACTTATTCACTGCAACTGATATACTTCATATAATTATTAAACACTATATTGGATCGGTGCGAATTGCCTAAGAAAAAAAAAAAAAAGAGTATAGGAAACACTGACTGATAACAAGATTTTTTCGATTTGTCGTTAGAGGTACGGACGTCTGTAATCTCTTCGATTCACGCGAGTTTTTTAATTAGAGAATGAAAAAAACATACAGAAAACAAAAAAATAACAACATTTTAATATATTTGTTTCTAACACGTTGATAAACATTTATAGCGTGGTATAGACTGTTGATTTTTTTAATTTTTTTTTTTTGTTGTTGTTTGAAAGGTCGCTTAATTTTTAATAAAATTTCATATTATTTGAAAGTCTTGTAAGTTGTCTACACCACGTTTTATTTAGGATTGAGAGCACCATTTTTGTTAAGTCACGTTCAAGCTATGAATTTACAATTTTTCGGTAATTATTGATAATAATAATTTAAAATAAACTGAAAGAAGAGATAACCGTAGAGTGAAGGGCAATGTATGTGGAGGGTCTACCTCTTCTATATTTACAAATTATTTATTTTAACGAAATACATAATCAATATGAGAATTGTTTACTTGAACATAATCTGAAAACTGACAAAAAATCTCATAAAATATCGCCGCATGAAAAACATAGATTAGAAAATTTTAGTTAAACAATAAGTCAATACGCTTCAAAGATAGAGCAGCGTAGTTCGACACATTTCAAACCTATATAACTTTAATAAACCAAAACGATCCATGTAGAATTTCTCTCAAATCCCGGCCTAAGCTGTTACCCTATCTTACTCTACGATTAAAAAAAGAATAATATAAAGATCTTAAACTCGAACTGATAGATTAAGTTAAAGCACAAATGGTTGACATAGTTGAGAATTGATCTATCCGCCAAAACATTCATTTATTAAAGATAGTTTGTCGCTGTGTAAGGTATCATTAGATACCCACCATTCTATAGCTTTACAAACTCTTAATATAAGGCTTTATGATAGCAGAAGTGTAAGAAGTGGTTCGCTCTTAACTATTTCCATTAGTGTTCATTCTTAGGCCAAAACTCCTCAGTGTAGATTGAACGCACGAATACAAGGCGAACAGACAGGATGCGCATAATAAAAAGTGGGGTCTATCTTTACACTTTCTCTGCGTTGCATATATCCGCACACACTTAATATACTCTTGCGCCTCAAATGGCTCTAATTTCCTTTTAATGCAAGAATGGACCAAAGATGAAAGTTTCAAATAAAACAAAAGGTTGTAATAAAACCGGTAAAAATTGGAAATATTTTAAGTTTATAAGTACCAGCAAATGGGCCGACATATCCGTCTATATCATCGCGAAAAATTGTAAGAAAACCATTACTTGACCTAAACAATTCTTCTTGAGTCTTCTTTTTGCTGTTTTTACGGGTTATTGCAATACTTTTGCATTCCTCTTGAATATAGGAAAGAAACTTGAATGCAGCTTCGGACTTGTGCCCAATATCTGATTTATACCAGATATTTTATCGCAAGATAAAGCAAATTTTTATTCGCTTAATATACATATGTTGCACCGTAGAAATGACGTACACTCTATATATCCTATATATTTTAAATCATTTTTCCTTATTACTTGGCCGAAAATCATAGCTAATCGAATCTCTTTTTTACTAAGTTAGTTAATATTCAAAATGCAGCTGGACGAGCTGGAAAACTATGATGTACATCAAAATAGTTGTCACCGAAAAATTTTGGTATCGTAATCGTGATTTTAATGGGCAAACATCCAAACAAACATTGTTCAATTCATCCTATCAGGAATATATATATATATATATATACTTTATAAGATTTTCGGTATAAATTTTGATTCGCCCAAGGCCTTTGATGGCTCTCCTAAACTGCCGCCATAATAAAACCATTATTATGTCATGTGTATTTCTTAATATATTATAAATATTTATTTATTGTAATCGATTAGACTGCCCGATGAGACCCGTTTCCGCGCTTAAGCGCAATAATATGACTGTAATTGATATTTGCTTTTGGGTATCTTGCGAGCAAGTACTTGATTGATTGGACAATGGTCATTTCACCTGCACAATATCAACGGAAAATTTCATTTTTCAATATCAATTTTTTTAATCGTCCGCTGACAGATGGACTATATTCACCTAACATTGCAAGCTGGTTAAGAATAGGATAGTTTTGTAGATTTCATAGAAAGAGACTTTGAATAGCATAAAAATTTTTCTCTTTCTGACATCGATTTTGTTCACCCATTCTGATCGTTAAACAATAATGGGGTAATTAAATAATAAACGGAAACATATTAAAAATTTCGCTTTTAAAATTATCAATTAATTCTTAATTATATGGAAAATTTCTTCTTAAATTATTTGCTTTTGTTCGTAATGTAGATAATGAAAAACACCCCACGTAGCGCTGTTTAATCACATTTAATGGAATTAATGCAAAACAAGCATTAAGAAGAAAACAATTGTCTACAATGATAGTAAAAAAAAAAAAAAAAAAAAAAAGAAAAAAAAAAACATTTATGTATACATCAACTGTTCCAACTGTGAATGAAGGTAAGTCATTTTTTCCCTTGCATTAGTATCTGACGAAAGGGCCTCTCTCCTCCCCGATCCCCCCGGCAACATAGATGCTCTTGATCTTGATCATTATGAACATATTTGGATAATTTGCTCACAAATTAACTAAGAAAATAGAATAAAACATATCTACGTTCATAATATCTTCAAGTGTTAAAATTCTTACAAATTTAATTGCAGTTTTTTATGTAAAAATCTTGCGATTGGTCTACTAACACGCCCATAATTAAGAGACAATATTTAGTGAATTTGAGTTTAAAATGAATTTTATTCTGCAGGAAACACGTACATGATAGGCGAATATTGCTTCCTTATATATTTATATATAATCTTTAGATTATTTTAATACGCATCAGCGGACAATTTATGTATGTTAATATTTGCATCTCACTGGTGACATTCATCGTATCAAATACATTAGAATAAATATAGCATAAAATATTTATATTTGAATGTCAGGAATATTTGCTTGATGAGCAAGATTTTTACTCTTTATTTATTAAATGTGAAAAATTTATCTTATATATGGCTTTACTATCCGGTGTCAAGAGGTTATTATATTGAAACCAATTAAGCAAAACTATTCTAAAGAGCACTTGTTATTGAAAGTATTTCCTTTACGCTCTCAGTAAGTTGACTTTCAAACATAATCATGTCCGTAATTATGAAAAGAAAAGAAAACCGATATTTGTTTTTTTTTTTTTCGAATATAAATTTGAAACTAAAAACCAACAACAAGTACAACAAGTTTACAAAACAGTAAAATCCGAACAATACTGTGTCGATAATTGGTAAATTGGGAACAGTCAGATATGCCTTATATCTTGGAAGTTCATGACATGACTATATATATTTCAGAAATTGTTGTTTAAATATCGTCTATCAATGATTTTAGCCGGCTTTGACTTTATCGTAATCGGATCTGATGGGAATGAAATGTTTAACGCAGTAATCTGTTTAAGATCAACCTTGCCTTGAAAATATAGCTCTGAAGGTTATTGAAAAGTCGGCTCAGGTTGCATAGAGCTTTTCTGCTTTCTATTTATTTATTTATTTTTTTTTTTTTTTTGTTCTTTTCCATTTTCACGCATTTATAATATGAAACTTTTGTTGTTATTGGTTTTACTCGGTTGCGATGCAACTAAAATGGAAAAAAAGAAAACGAAAAGTTTTGTGATGCAATTCCACTAACTTATGAAATTAGTATATTTTGCGTTTTTTTTTTTTTTTTTTTTAAATTCCCTTTTTTCAAATAATGCTTTTTTTTCATTCCAAAAAAATGAAAATGTAATTTCAACTTTTTCGCAATTAAGAAAAAAGAAAGTAAGTTTTTTAAATGGTAAAATTTTAGGTAACTACTCCGCATATAAATAATTTGAAAACGCTTATGTTCACTTTCTCATTAAAACGATTGTAAATGTATTTTGAGCTGCTTGTTCTTATATATGTAAAATTAAGTAAAATTATCATTTAAAAGTATCTTCATATATTTCTTCTCTTTCTCTCTGTCATTATCAATTTCTAATAATTGAATTTTATATTAAACTCATATGCACAGATCTCACAGAAATTTGCATCAATTCCCTTAGCAGCATATATCATAGAATAGAACATCAGCATACCGTCGAATGTGAATCGAATTGAAACAAATGAGGCAAAAGTAACCACAGATTCGTATTTAAGGCGCCCCACAGGAAATTGCAATCTCAAATATTTCACTTTCTTAACTCAATAAATACCATATCATATATCAAAGACATCTATCTACCTAGATTTTGAAATTTACCGCAAAAGTACCCTGGCCCTTCAACTGATCGTCATGATGTCCAGGTTTTTTTTTTTTTTTTGGGCAAGAAAACACAATGGAAAATAATTTCATAATTTCAATTTTCAGGTAAAAATTTCATTAATTTGGATTTGAAAGCAGTTTATATAGATATTTTTTGAAAGGCTGACGGAAAATCCAAATGACATACTCACTTGTATTGCAAAACTCTACCCAATTTGAGATATGAATCCGTGACAATTGCGTTGTTCGTCTCGATCCCTTGCCTAATTTGCAAATATTTTATTGAGATAGTCATCATGATGATAATTTCATGATAAAATTTAAACTTTGGCAAATTAAAATGTCTAAGATGTGTAGATTTAAAATGTAAACTGAAAAAAAATATGCAAGAATGAGGGCGCGCCATGAGCGAAGAAAAAGTAAAGAGTTTCAGAGAAGCGTAAGATATCTGAGAAAACGTAAATTATGTTCATAGTAAAGAGATATGATCTCTTAAAATAACTTTTTAGCTACTACTGCTCTTATTATATTCACATAGAAATTATATATATGGAGATCTTAATAAATCAATAAATTTTAACATATTTCTAACATATATGCATATAAGCCTTGAATGATAATGATAACAAACATCTAGCCTATCTT